TCCAAGCATAACACTAACTAAATATTCAAGCCACACTATTAAAAATCACCAGTTTGTTTCCACTCAAAAGAAATGTTTTCTTCTTTCCACCTGTCATGTTACACAAACCACCTGCATAATCCAAACACTTGTATCATCACATTAGTTGAAAAATTTGTGGTAAATAAAAAACTGTGGTTTCCCAAAAAATATTTCAGTGCCATATGCAACTATTACTGTCATACAAACGTGAAAGTCATTAACTAGCACCCTCTGAAACTGGTTAGGATTTAATTATTGACAAATTAGACGCAAAAGTAATAAAATATCAAAACTATATGATATATATTTTACATGAAGTACACAGACATCCAGTGATAAACATGATTATAAATGTCTAAGGTACACACTACGGAGCAAACATACCCCGGCGCTAGGGTTGGCATAGCAACCACTATAGTCAGATGTTTCCATACACCAACATCTCGATGACTATAAATTGTTAACACTGTGTAAATATCGTCAAGTCAGGAAAATAGTTTGAAAAATTAACTACAATTTATTGAGCTGAAAATACTGTTGAAAATATATACCAGTGAAGTAACAGTTTAGCTTAATATTTCTTTTTTTACTAGACAAATTTAATATAGTGAACATATTTTATCTGTGACTTGCATATAGAATAGCACCTTCACAGAAAACACAATGTTGAAAGCAACATACAGAGTTACCTCCCCTTAATTGTCAGGTCTCAGATCAATTTGTAAACATTTGTTTTGTTTTGAGATTTCAGGTGAATAAACACAAGTGAATATATCATCCTACTAGTGACAAACTGACGGGATTCATACAGTGTATATAAAATAGCCATCAAGAACTTCATTATTGTAAGTGTAAGCATGTGATAGGAAGTAACAGCTACACAATAACAGCGAGTAACAGCTAGTAACAGTCCTAACAGAACAAACAACAGATGGGGAGTACAGATCTGTACATGGGAAAGCTCAAACATCATATATAGATTCATCTAATAACAGAACTTTACTTTACAACACTTTTCCCCCAAATGCCGTGAGATACTACAATATTGTTCAAGCGTAACAAAGATCTTCATCAAGACTCATATGCCCTTAAACAGGTTATTCATGAAAAATTCCAAGAATTAAGCGAGAAATGAATAATTTGATAACATATTGTCATGGATTAATATTGCTGATTTTGTTCATTTAGCATATCAAAAACATCAAAAACACAAATAACAGAAAGAAACTACTAAAACTTGGCATCAAAGAGATACTCCGTTCATGAAAAGAAAGGGAAATATTTGTAAATTTGAAAACGAAAATTGCACAGAAAAGAAAGATATTTAACAATCATCAATAATTTTAAAGAACACTTCATTTTGCTTCATTCATAATCAAATATTAGCAATGGTTAGAGAATTAAACATCAACAAGTAGTGTCATAAAACAATAACTTACAAAACAAATACAATTAACAAGAAAAGAAGTAGAAGTGGAAGTAATAAGTATATCCTCGTGTGTAATATCATCAAAAGTTCATAAAACAACTCATGAATTTTAATGTTTTAAAATTCATCCAACTTTCAAAATCAATTCCAAACCATGTAAGTCACCTGTTAAATACATAACCCAAGTCAGATCTAATAAAATGTACAGCAAGAACAGAAACAGGCTGATATGAACATATATTGTACACAGGCTTCAAGACCTCACAGCCTCACATGCATGTGACGTAAAGATGTACATACACAAATAAAAGAGAAGACCATGTATTTTCACCCTGATCTGAAGATGGAGGGACATTTACATTTAATGATGAAGATGACAAATTTAAATAATGATGACTTAGACAGATTTAAGTTCACTTCACCCTGGCATCACAGGTAGACTTTTTTAATTCACAAAGTGACTGTAGAGCTAAGACAATCGTAATGTTTATACTGTAACATTACACTTACAACTGTCGAAGCACTACAATAACCTTAGGAAAGTCAGCCCTAGTTTTGCAAGGCCGAAACAAGTACAGGTGTACTCCTTGGCTGGTTCTGGCTATTCACATGCCACATATGGCCAACTTCAACACACATGTATTTGCAGAACAGGTACAACTTTCTATACTGAATAATGAAATATTTGAAATTGGTTTATCTTTATAAATATTAAATGCTGGCTTTGAAATGAATGTCAGTAAGTGAATTCATCCAGAACTTAAAAAAATGCTTGTAATGTTTATAAAATTTGTTTTAAGACTTTTGTATTAATTTACAGACACAGACAGATCGGAATTAATGTACCTGATTAACGTCAGTCTGAACTGCTATTCCCAGGGAAACAATCCAAGTTGTGTCCCTTTGCATATACATATGTTCTAATAATCATCAGTTATTCAGAGTTTCCACATTAAACAAGGAACTCCGGGTATCATTGTGTTCATCTTTATAACTGTTCCAGCCCAAACTTCATCACAATGTACTTTGAGTGGACCCTCCACTGACCATGACCGGTGTAACTGTCTCTGAATGTCCTCTCCATACATACAAGGGTATTAAAGAATGCATAAAAGTGAAAAGATGATATGTACCAAGCTTGGCAAAATATACAACATATTCGTACAAATGTGTCCACCGAGAAAAACAGACATTCTAAATGCTACACAGATTTTGGACATGGAAACAGAATCTGGACTGACATGTTAAAAGGCAAATGTTGGCTCCGTGAATTAAGGCCCTTATCTTTGAAGAAAATTCTTTCTTGTCCTAGAGACAAAATTATAAAATTATAAAAAGTTTTGAATAAAGAAAATTGATAATAGCTTGTATTAATATTTGTCAAGCGAAAACATGTTTTGAGTAGTAACATCCCCATAGGCCGTCACAGGCCTTGTCATATCAATGTGATCGAACTACATACAATTCCATACATTTAGAGGGAACCAGAGATAAACCTTATCCAACAACAAGAAGTCTTATCCTAGTACTGCTATCCTACAGTTAGATTATATATATCTTCTCCTAATACTGCTATCCTAGTGTTAGATTACAACATTCACGCAACATCGACCATTGTAAGCTCACCATTTCTAATCTTCCATAGTACTCAGATATATTTGTTACAAGATATTAAATTACTCATAGACAAGAATCTGAGAGAAAAACTGCATAAATAAGTGCCAATTTGTAACCAAATAGTGATGATTTTCAAGCTGTTCTAATAGCATACCATATCAAAATAAGTTCTTTTGTTTTATTTGATTTTGCAAGTAAAATCGAAGATGCCTACTAAAGAATGCCCCTTGTAGAGACAAGTATGTATGGAAATTTTGAAAGTCTTTTGTAAAAAAATATGAAAATACTTCAATGCTACATAATCATAACTTGAAACTACCTCCATTTAAAACCCCTTTTCACAACCAATAAAATAATCAAATAGGTGACAGATAACAATACTGACTGACTGACTGAGTTTGGTTTTACGCCGCTTTAAGCAATATTCCAGCAACATCACGGCGGGGAACACCAGAAATGGGCTTCACACATTGTACCCATATGGGGATTCGAACCCGGGTCTTCGGCGTGACGAGCCAACGCCTTAACCACTAGGCTACCCCACCTCCCCGACAGATAACAATAATTGGAAGTAGTAGTACTACATTTTAAAAATAGTATGCAGGTACAAATTAAAATTATATTTTTTTAATTGTCTTGACTGTTGAAGAATTTCATCAAATATGGTACTGATGAATTACCAGGTAGAATGAGATCCATTATAATGCCAATGCCCCAAATATTTCCCCAAACTCCAGATACTGACAAAGAAAAAAGTTCTTTACATAATAACCATTGCTGCTTTCCAACCCACATTGTGCATATTTGTCATCATGTGATTTATATCAGGAATCTCTAACTAGGCAAGAGCGTGCTAACATAAATAACAGGGCAGCCATTTTGTCCAATAAATCCCCAGGCTCAACCTATTAAACTCAATATACTAATTACCAGTAGGTGACAAACCTGACGTCTAACAGTACAGCCGAACTGATACACTGTTACCTGGACAATTACATATTTATTCATTACTTATATTTAATTTCATTGCAAATTTGATCCTGCTATCGAAATGCGTAAACTCAAAAGGAAAATAGGATAAAATGTAAAAACAATTTACACAATTACATTTGATGCATTTTGTTTGTTTCATCTAATCTTTTAGGTGTTTAATTTTAACTTGGACTCACGGGCATCCTTTAACAGAGCAGCTCCACTACAGTAAAATATTCAAACTTTTATGAATAAACTTTTAAATATCAAAACGGTTACCTCAACATGATTATATGACTTACCATATTCATAAAAGCTTGAAGTGATTCAATTATAACGTTTTGCATAACTGTCACATTAGGAATCATGCTATCTGAGTATCAGGTTCAATATACAATATCAGGGCAAACTAAGAACACATTCAATCCCTGGGCCATGAATATTTATCACCAAGTTTACAAAATGTTAGCATGTAAGTTCCCCATCACTTAACACAGGTCTATCTACAGTCAGTATTTCAGTGTTCTCAGACATGTGACCAATGTCAAGGTCAGACTTACGGGCTTGCTGAATATCCACATACTGTCACGGCTACTAGCATATAATGGTTGTTTCTGGAAAATCTAGCAGTGTTCGATTCATTGGAGGGACGTTCGAGTAATTTACTTAGACATCCACAGCTGATGCCTCTCATAAAGGTGTTAATCTGTCAGTCAAATGAGGATCAGGGTATGTCATCTTTGAAAAGAAAATCAAATGACAATTATCTGTTAATCAAAAACCACATATTGTTCATTCATTGTTGAACATTCAATAGCTGCAAAATAATTAGGGTGTTGGTAGCCATTTGTCGTTATTCAAGGTACCTTATGAAATGGTAGCCCAAAATGAGCTTATGATAATTTATACCAGATCCTGAGTAAACTGAAAATGGATTTTCAAAAGCCTGCACTTGTCGTTATGGTGACGGTAAGATAAGTGGATGTCTGGTTCCACGTGAACTTGCCGCGGTGGCAACGAAGCTAGTACTGTGTCTTGGTCTCGTAGGATGTAGTAGTCGTTGTCTCCACCGTGGCTGCGGAGGAGGTGGTGGTGGTGGTGGCGGGGCCACTCTGCCAGCCGCGGTACATGAAGAATGTATCTATCCCAAAGACGGCTGTTGCAGCAAAACAGAAGAACTGAAATACAGAAAAAGAATACAATGTTTACTTCGGCGAGCACCCCTGGAAATTATCGGTTAGAACTGGTCGATGCTGGTCTTGAATGATGACTGAAGGGACGACATGGCCAGAGTTTGTTGGTTCACGTCAACATCCCCGGACAATGTGGATTGTTGCTGATACAATAAATCACTGGACTGTCTGGTCTAGGGACTCGTTTTACAAAGAGATCATAGCACTATGACTGTCAGAAGTCTATGTGACCCGTGAAGATCTGGGTTAGAATTGGTCTTCAGCAACCCATGCTTGTCGTAAGAGGCGACTAATGAGATCGGGTGGTCAGGCTCGCTGGCTTGGTTGACACATGTCATCATATCTCAATTGTGTAGATCGATGCTCATGCTGTTGACAACTGCATTCTCTGGTCTAGACTCGACTAATTACAGACCACCGCCATAAAGCTGGAATATTTCTAAGTGAAAACTTAAACTTAACTTGCTCACTCCATGGTTGATACTCGACTACCCGTGTATAGACTATAGAGCATCTCAACTGCCTACGGGTATAGACTCTAAACAATGGCTCTTGCCGGCGTCATATGAGTTACTACGGCTGACAATCCCGTGGGCGTCACCCGACCATGGTCAATGCTGTTGGGTATTACGGCTGCGACCCCACCATGCGGAAAAATGATTACAGGCCAAGTGGGCTTACAAGCGGTTGAATCCCCGGGACTGATGGCAGGACCCCATGCAGCTTATACCATGGGCAAAAGCTGACGATGGTCGACCTCGTCCGTATCAACCTGATCCGAGACATATCCCGTTATGCCATCCCACCGATCAGCTGGACTACCCGTGGCTATGGTAGACGTCTGCTGGTGGACAGCCGAGAAGTCTGTGTCTCCCATAGCCATTATGGTTGACTGGGATGATTCCATACGTGTGGGCCACAAGCAGTCCACGGGATCAGCCCCGTTATGCTCGGGCGACTCCAATCTGCCTGTGCGGGAAAGGGTGGCAAGCCGAGAGGGCTTCTTATTGGGTTGTAACCGTTGCGGGTTGAAACCCAGGGACTGAAGGCAGGGCCCATGCGGCTTGCGCCATGGGCAATCCTGCCTATTGTCAAAGCCGTCGACATAGTCCCCCCCCGCTGGAAACCGTAATACAATTTATTTGCAATAGTTTGAAACAGTTTTCTGTTCATGATCCATTACCCAGAATGGAAATGCATGAATATGCTCTTATACTGAAAATACATATTAGTGATTCTGGGGTTCAGACTATCAGATCCTGGCATAGGCAAGGGAGGTAACTCTTTACATTTTCATGAGGTCCTTTCACTACTAAAGGTTATAAAAGTCATTTGACTGTACTCACAGAGGTAGCAGCAATGGATGAATGCCAACCTCCACGTGCGGCTGCAACGATGCCGGAGATGAGGAAGAAGATGGTGAAGACGATGTGGCATATAAACTCCTGGAAGAGAATGTGGGTACTGGTTAACAAGAGATGAAGAAGAAGATGGTGAAGACGATATAGCATATAAACTCCTGGAAGAGAATGTGGGTACTGGTTAACAAGAGATGAAGAAGAAGATGGTGAAGACGATATAGCATATAAACTCCTGGAAGAGAATGTGGGTACTGGTTAACAAGAGATGAAGAAGAAGATGATGAAGACGATATAGCATATAAACTCCTGGAAGAGAATGTGGGTACTGGTTAACAAGAGATGAAGAAGAAGATGGTGAAGACGATGTGGCATATAAACTCCTGGAAGAGAATGTGAGGCCTGGTTAACAAGAGATGAAGAAGAAGATGGTGAAGACGATATAGCATATAAACTCCTGGAAGAGAATGTGGGTACTGGTTAACAAGAGATGAAGAAGAAGATGATGAAGACGATATAGCATATAAACTCCTGGAAGAGAATGTGGGTACTGGTTAACAAGAGATGAAGAAGAAGATGGTGAAGACGATATAGCATATAAACTCCTGGAAGAGAATGTGGGTACTGGTTAACAAGAGATGAAGAAGAAGATGTTGAAGACGATATAGCATATAAACTCCTGGAAGAGAATGTGGGGCCTGGTTAACAAGAGATGAAGAAGAAGATGGTGAAGACGATATAGCATATAAACTCCTGGAAGAGAATGTGGGGCCTGGTTAACAAGAAATGAAGAAGATGGTGAAGACGATATAGCATATAAACTCCTGGAAGAGAATGTGGGGCCTGGTTAACAAGAGATGAAGAAGATGGTGAAGACGATGTGGCATATAAACTTATTTATTATCATATATCATGTTATCATTGATATTATAATGCAGTGTTATTATTGATTGAGTGAGTGAGTTTAGTTTTACGCCGCTTTTAGCAATATTCCAGCAATATCACGGCGGGGATGTTATTAATGATATTACAATACAATGTCACTATATTACTGTTTATGTCAATACTTTTTCTGCAATATATTATCATTACTTATATTACAGTAGTCTTTTTACTTGTATTACTGTACATTATTTTATCTACCTGACTGAACAATGTAATTATGTTATTACGCATATCCCTGTAAAATGCTATTGCCTAACGCTCCTGTACAATGTTATAGTCCGTTTGGGTTCAAATGAGAACGATGAATGATTAAATAACTCGAAATAGGGACAAGAGCACAAAACATAAATAAGACACATGGTCCTGAAACATCTGTACCAACAGGATCTGAAATCTAACGCATTATGATCGATCATGGAAAAAGTTGAAACCATCATGTAACATTGTGCTATTTTCACGCTTCACAGCGAGGGAGACAAGCGGCTGGTGGAACAGCGCAGGCACGCACTTCAGGTGCAACTCAGCACAGCCAGGTGGGATGATATATACTATAGTCCGTTTGGCTCAAAAGCGGCCCGATGAATTGCAGTCTAACTCGAAAACTAATAAACTTAAAATACTCAATGAAAACGCTGATCATAATCCAAACATCATACCCACTCTGTGAGGTTTTTGCAGAATTTTTGTCCTAAAAATAAAAACGTTGTTTAACAATCTATCATTAAAATATTGACACAGTTCACTATTTGTTACGAGGGAGGAGTGCAGAGAAAGGGACAGCACAGGTTAATGAATAAATAACTTTGTCTGTGAACGTGCTTCTCAAACACCTGGCTGTCCCTTTCTCTGCACTCCTCCCTCGTAACAAACAGTGAACTGTGTCAATATTTTAATGATAGTTTGTTAAACAACTTTATTATTTTTAGGACAAAAATTCTGCAAAAACCTCACAGAGTGGGTATGATGTTTTGATTATGATCAGCGTTTCATTGAGTATGTTATGTTTATTAGTTTTCGAGTTAGATTGCAATTCATCGGTCCGCTTTTGAGTCAAACGGACTGTAGTCAGGAAACAGCCGGCGCTGTTCCACCAGCTGTGTGTCACCCCTCGCTGGCAAGAGTGAAAATGGCACAATATATTACATGATAGTTTCTCAAACAACTTTTTCCGCGATCGATCACCAAATGTCAGATTTCAGATCCTGTTGGGTACAGAGGTTTTAGGACTATGTGTCTTATTTATGTTTTGTGCTCTTGTCCCTATTTCGAGTTATTTAATCATTCCTCGTTCTCATTTGAACCCAAATGAACTAAACCATATTACTGAACAATGTTACAGTACAAGGTTATAACTAAAATGTAATCATGTACAATGACACTATTGTGCAGCTTTAAAAGACATATACTGAATATAAACTTCTTAAGACATATTAAAGGGTCAAACAAAGTATACTTGTTTTACACAAAAGAAAATTTCTGAAATTTTCTTTTGTGTAAACAAGTATACTTTGTTTCATCAGCAATTATATTTTTATTTTAAAAGCAACAAACAACTGTTCCAATCGCATAACCTGCAAGTATGCGGTATACTCGTACTGATGTGAGAGTCATCTCTCCACCACGACGCCAGGTCGGGATGGCATATCTGCTCATTAACTCTCAGTAGTTTCCAGAACCTGAGTAGTTTTTTAACGTTTTAGGCAATAAAGTTACTTTACGGTTCTTCTTCAAGATACATGTTTTAATAAGATTTAATTTGAGATTTTTACTGTGTATCTCCTTTAAATTCACACAGAACAGAAAAATAACAGCGATCAGAACACCAACACGACTTACTTCTTGGTTCACATGTGGTATGTACACTTGATAACTACAACATTCATGATTTGGAGGGTCGGGGTGTAGCTGCCCGGCATAATATGTATTTCTAATAGGGATGGGTCACTAAATATGTTGAATAATGTATAACGTGTAAATATTATTACTTCTCACACAATCTTACTTTTTATACTTAATACAATCATATTACTTACAGTACAGTAGTGTTATATCAATGTTATACAAATGCCCAATGTTATAATAATGTTATATTACTGTTCACTGTTATAAAAACACTATACTACTGTCCAATGTTATAACAATTTTATATTACTGCCCAATGTTATAACACTGTTGTTACTTTCAATGTTATAAAAGGTTATATACTGTCAATGTTATAACAATTTTATATTACTGTCCAATGTTATAACAAGTTTATATTACTGTCCAATGTTATAACTAATATTACCACACAAAGTTGTAACATGTATATTTCTGTACAGCCTCATTACTTACAATCAAGGGCCATGGGCCTGGAAGTTTCTCAAAGATGTGAAGGAAGTGGAATATGAACAACAGCGCCACGACTACTGCTGCCGCCACAGCCACAAACTGGATCCAGCCGGCTCCATAGGGTACCCAGTAGACTACCGATGTGCAGATCAGTACAATGATGCACAGCACCTGCAACAAGAACACAGTTCAACCCATACAACATGTCTCTGTCTAGTGACCACTGCCATAACTAAGTAAACCCAGTTCAACACCACTTTTATCAGTAATCCATTTATATCTCAGCATGTCAGCAGGAGGAAGGCCTGAAGCGATGCAGGTCTCAAAAGTTCACCACTTTGGTGAAACTCATAGGGATCAAACCCATAAGCATGGATACGTGGAGATCTGGGTTAGAATTGGTCTTCACCAACCAATGCTTGTCATAAGAGGAGACTAACAGGATCGGTTGGTCAGGCTTGCTGACTTGGTTGACACATGTCGTATCCCAATGGTGCAGATAGATGCCCATGCTGTTGATCACTGGATTGTCTGGTCCAGACTTGATTATTTACAGACCACCGCCATACAGCTGGAATATTGCTGAGTGCGGCATTAAACAAAAAAAACAACCCATAAGCATGAGTTTAGTGTCGACAAACCTGGGCCCCGTTTCTCAAAGCTCTTGTAAGCCTAAGATCTCGTAACTTTTCTCTTAGCATTCGTACCTCCTATGTTACAGTATAGGAGATTCGAATGCTACGAGAAAAGTTACGAGATCTTAGGCTTACGAGAGCTTTGTGAAATGAGTCCCTGGACACATCATCAGGGAATCGAACCGACAAGCACAGGTTTCGGTTTTGTCCTAAGGATGCAACTCAGTGAAGTGAAGCACATCAGACGAATGTCCCAGCTTCCCGATGGCTTTGTCTGGTCCTGACTTGATTATCTACCATGTTTACATCACAGTGAAGGGTGCGATTTTGCTTTTGTTCAGTACCTGCACCAAGTGCAACCTGGCTCATAGGTTTGGCTGCACCAACAAATTTTGGTTGCACCATAAATGATTGTCACTGGTTCTAAAACGCAACATAATTACTTGTTTAGCAATTTTCATACAAGTCTTCAGTATCAGATACATTTAACAGAATCTGATACTGATGAATGATTCTGTTTCAATTTTGCATTACCTTTATTTAGAAATCTCAATTATATGATTACTGCTACATAACTGATTAACGAGGACACAAATGTTTATGCTTGTAAGAAGTCTTGTTACTTCCAGCCACTTACTTCCCTATCAAAAGACACGACGACAGCTATAAGATATTGGAGGATTTATTGTTACCTGCCCAGGTGCAACCTATTACTAAAGGCAACCCACACCAGCCATTTTGAACATGCAGGTTGTAACTAACAAAATTGCACCCTGTAGTGTTATGTAGACAAAATATTGCAGACCAGTGCAAAATCTTGATTTTGTAATCTCTCTCTCTTTCTCGCATGCACGCGCACACATGCACGCACAAATTATCACTTACAAATTCTACGATCTTGAGTATTCCGGGGATGGACTTGATGTAGCCGACATCAGGATGGATGCCTGTTGTGCTGGACGAGGTGGTCGTGGTGGTTGTCTCGTAGGTAGACATGTTGACTTCAGCACTTTTTCACTGATCAGTGGAGACAAGAGATCACAGAAAATTCCAACTGGAAAGAAAAAATCACACAATAAAACCACAGCTGACACCAGGCAACCAATCATCATGACAATACATCGAACGAACAGAAGTCAGGTAAACAAGACGAGGAAAGATATAATTCCTGGAACCAAAAAGGAAGTAAAAATTTGACAGAAACATGATCAAGACCACAAACTTCCCCATGACAGGTGAGTGCTTCAACCAGAGGGCTACACCTACACCATAAATACCTCAAACATGGATGACAAACAGAAATTTCAATCAATGGTATTTTGACCCTTTTGCTCATTAACTAACTGAGTGTGTGAGTGAGTTTGGTTTTATGCCATTTTTAACAATATTCCAGCAATATCACGGTGGGGACACCAGAAATGGGCTTCACACATTGTACCCATGTGGGGAATCGAACCCGGATCTTCGGCGTGACGAGTGAACGCTTTAACCACTAGGTTACCCCACCGCCCCAACCAGTCTTGAAACAAGTCCTAAGATATATGGTACCTGATGGGCACTCATATAGCAACCTCTATGTACATGCTGCTTTTGGTTCAACAAATTCATGGCAATAGTGAATGCTGACCCATGAAATCACTGACAAAATCTGGAATCTCTTTCTCATAAACATGATAAAACAACAATTTCAAAAGCAAATATGCCTCTTAAATCATTTGTAAATAACAAAGAAAACTAAAATTGATCAAAGACAAAGAATGATTTTTTAACTGAAAACAGCAGTATACAATAATATAACTGCCAATTCCAAAATTGAAATATTATCAAACTCTGTGTTAAAACTTCAAGTTTCAATAATCATTGTAGTGAGTGAGTGAGTGAGTTTGGTTTTACGCCGCTTTTAGCAATATTCCAGCAACATCACGGCGGGGGACACCAGAAAAATGGGCTTCACACATTGTACCCATGTGGGGATTCGAACCCGGGTCCGCGGCGTGACGAGCCAACGCCTTAACCATTAGGCTACCCCACCGCCCCCAATAATCATTATTCCAGTAAGAAGGCGATAAAAGCTTTTCCACCATTCAGACAACAATCAGTGTTGAAACAGGATGAGAATTATAATACCACATGCTTTATCATGTTTATATCTGAGGAAAGACAAGGGAGAAAATATCTCAATGGACTTCCTTTCATGCCATAAACCTGTAATATAATTCACTGAGACATTTCAGACCATGATCTTGAGGTTTATTTCAAAATTGCATGAAAAGGTTTCTCACATTTGAAAATGCTGAAATAATATTGAATTATGAAAGATGAAATACAATTTGTGAATATTAAAATATGACAGTAATGTTTGTAAATTTGAAATATGGTGAAACTCGAGGTATGACTGGTGAATGTAGAAATATGCTGGGTGCATGTCAGTATGTCTGGTGAATGTCAAGAAATAGTTGTCACTCTTGAAGTCTAAGAGGGGAATCGTGGATAACGTCAGGTGAATTTTGAAACGTGACAAACAATTATCTTCCTTGAGACACTTTGAGAAGTTGAGAGTAGGAGTGAAACGGTATAACACGGTATTAGTATAACTGCACTCATTTGCCTTCGGTTCGGTAAACCGTAATGCAATCCAAAAATTCAGTATTTCCAGTTTCGTACCGTTGTTCTATCTAGTCATAAAACGACAGTTTTGTTCATTCAAAATCACAAAGATTATGGTTACTTTTTCCCATGTTAAACAATGAAAGGTTTGGCTCTTGTCAATTTTCTGCACTATGATCATATCTCATATAGCGAACTGCACCAAAGGCCTTGTACCACAATATGTACCATACCGTGGTAAGAGCGTACCGTTTCACCCCTAGGGCTAAATAAAAAAAATGTTGTTCCGATTACACCTGTTTAAAATTTAGGTTAGGTAGGTAGGAAGGGAATTTTTTTTACCTTTTTTTTAAGAAGTAAAGTACGAACTAATAACACATTTATCAATGTGTAATTGTTTATTCAATCAAGCTTGTGGACTTCATGTAGACTTTCTCTATCAGAATGACCGATGTCTGTTGGTGCCGGGAAAAAGCAATGGTATCTGAAAGCTTATTTTATTCATACCTTGTCAAAAAAAACTATGGTTGGCACCAGAATTCAAGGGCTGGTTGGGTAATCGGAACGACAACATTTTTTTTAGGCCTAGTTGCTTGTTAACAGTGTTAGAACCTACACCGAAATGTCACTCTCACTGTAATAGAGTCATTCTATGGAAAAGGGCAATTTCAGCATTTGCTCTTAAGAAAATTTTATTTATATTTTTTATATTTTTTATGTCTTCATGTAAACTTCTTTGGTTTGTATAATATTGCATCAGCAGAGAAGTTCAGACAAGAATTTTTCGTAAAATTCATTGTGACTTTTCAACTTTAAATCAAAATGTCATTACCGCAACGACGGCAAAAATACTGATTTTGGAAAATCTAGTTATAAATTTTGCTTAAAAACAGCTATGAAATGGAAAGAGTTGTTAGATGTCACATATGAGGCTATTTATAAGTATATTTGTGCAATGAATGGTAATTTATCATAATTGTTTCAATGCATTTATGATTTTTTTAGTTTTTTGCATGAATGTAAACAATAACTTTGGCAACAATAGCTCTTATCTCAAACAGTTATCAGGAAAGGATAAAACATTGAATTAAGTTTACCCTCCCATAAGTTAAATGGCTTCAAGGAAATAATTGGTTGTATAATCATAAAAAATGTGTTCCATTTTGGTAATGACATTGAAATTGCGGTAGTGACATGTTGTTTTGGTAATGACATGGACGTGAACAAATTCAAGAATAAAGTTAAACAATATGTTTTTCCAAGCAGTTGACTTGTTATATAACATTAGCTTTATGAACATAAAACACCGAGGCTGAATAATTTAATCTCTGTGACCACAGTTAGATACAATGTTCTATGTTATGTTGTTGACAACACGCGGCAGACCAACAGCAAATTGTTTGGTTCTCAAAGTAGATAACTTGAAATAACTTTGCTTTAAGAATCAATTTAATATGATTAATTACACTTTCTTACTTGTTTTTACCAATTCAACAAGACAGATGTAATATTACTTATCATATTTAAGTGTTTTTTAACATATTTTAAGAATTGAAAATGTTATTTTCTTGTTAATTGAAAATAATTAAATCTTAACTAACCACGTAATTTGTAAACACTAACAGTGGATTCACAAAACCTTGGCAACTATTTCTATTATGTTCTTATTTCATCAAACTTTAATACCATTGTGAGGCAAAATTTACAGATTTTGGTGTTTGGAGCGTTGTGGTAATGACTGTTGCGATAATGACATTGTGATGCATTTTATAAATCCTTGTCGGGTAGTCATGTTCTCTAATTCCAAGCACTACATTACATTATACTTTGTATCATTTAAGACATAACAAAGTATTATTTGTTGCATTCTATATTGGATAACCCGTGTTATCACATGTGTGGTAGTGACACATGTCATCACCGCAACAACAGTTTTTGTTGAGGTAATGACAATTTTGTTCAAATTCAACTCTCCTGATCTTCCATATACTTATAAGTTCTTTTAGATATATATTTGTGAAAAGTATTCAAACAGGCATCTCATTAAAATACAAAAGACTTAGTACAATTCATATATACTATAGTTAAGTGCATTGCGGTAATGACACACATTAAAATCACTCCCCTCATAATGAAAGAAGAATGGAGAATTCCACTCTAAGCCCTATGATATGACATGCCTCCTTTGAGCACATGGTCAGCAATGACGCCATGTAGTGGAAGCTGATCACAGGGTCTGAAGGGAGACTATCCATATATTTTTTCAGTGCTAATTCTCTGTATGTTGAGGTAATGACAACATTTTCAGGGACATTTTTTTAAATCTAAATTTTTCAGATATTTACTTCATATACAATGTATTCATGTAAATTGAGAAATAATTGTACCATTCATGCATATTCTTTAAAACTGACCTAAAGATACATAATGATATTCAATTTTGAAGTTTTGACACCCAAAAATGCAAAAGAGGTTGGAGCTTGGGACATGCCTAATTAACGTGATTGCCCATCTTCATCTGTAATTTTCCAAAATTAAGCCAGGAAAATAATATCTTTTATTTAGTGATTAGTATGCTTAGTACCATATATCTATAAATAAAGGCAATTTTCAGTAAATTATTTCATGCAATAACAAAATTGAGAGTAAGGTCAGTGGGGACAGCAAATTGCCATTTTCTGTAGAATGACCCAATAATGAAATTGTTCACCCTTGTATTGTTATCTTTCTCTGACTTCTAAGCAGCTATCATTACTGAACATCAAACTGGGGAATGACATAACATGATCAGGCAATGTAGACATATGACTGGTCACTGTCCATGTAGGACTTTCCTCAACTCCACAGACATAAACCTGCCTCCCTGTTTAAAACATAACATTGCACTCCTCCACTAAACCCAATCAGCTGTATAAACATCTCCTCCTTGTTTAAAGTACCCCCTTTTCATTTGTACATCTCTAGCTTCTATGCCTTCCCCCATTGTCTACCCACTGGCTTCATCACCTCTAAGCCCACCCTGTTGTGTTAATTACCTTGTTATTCTATTTTCTTTGTTACACTCAGTATATATACTTTGCCATCATTGTATGTTACATTCCTGCTTGACAACGGTACAAGCATCTGTATCGAAACGTCGCACTCTCGTAATAATGAAGTTGTTATCCATAAAGCTTGTCAATTTTGTACTTCCCAGCTTCTAAAATGCCACTCAAAGAAGTTGATATTACCCCTTCAAATATTACCACATACCAGCACACTGTGAGACAACATGGACTGTATAAGATCATAAAGTCACCCCTCGCCATAACACGGGTCTTGGGGTCCATGAATGATCCCCCATGTTATGAGACACCTGCTTTATACATAACACAGAATGATGGCCACGTAAAATCATGCTCAAATTCTATGTGCATTGCATACCTGCTATTTCATGTACTGTACTCA